CTACTAAAATGAAGAAGCAGTTTTTTATTCAAATCCCAGGAACATTGATGACTGATTTCCCTACGAATTGCTTCCCAATCTCTTGGAACGAGCTTTCCATTTCCTCCCGCGTCCACTGCACGGGATTGAAAAAAAACTGACTGGGTGATGGCGGCCACTAGGAAATTTTCCTCCTGCCTATCTCACGAAAGGACAAAAAGAGATTGTTGCTTCTTACCATCGTGAAAGAAGATGACCATGCCATTGTATGTCCAGAGCTCATATAATGCATCTGCTGTCCAGGGAACTTAGTGATCAAACCTTAAGACCTCTCTCCACATCATCGCACACTCCAAAGTTTCCACAAAGCAACCGTGCAACGCAGGAGTCCTACGATTCAGCCCCTGTGCATGCATGAGCGTAGCATGCAAGTAAAAAATTCTCATTGAAAATTCTAGACTAGGGAAAGAGCATTCTCAGTGAGCTGCTGCTTGGCCATTCTTCTCCTCCAGCCTGCTGGCCTGTGCTCCAGGATCAGACGAGGACCCTTATGCGTACGGAGCTCCTCTTTGTAGGCCGGGAACATGTTCGTGTCGGGTCATGTTTCCTCGGGTCGTCCACTTCCAATTCAACGTTCGGAAGTAGGAAGCTGTGGGGATCGCCACGTTTAACAGCCAGAATCCGGGGACTTCGAGGTTGCAAAGACGGTCTTTGCCGGACGTGAGCGACGATGTAATTACCAAGGCGTTCCAAGTCTCGGATCCCGAGCTTGTGAGCGAGCTCAGGAAACTCATCAAGTAGACTTGAAGGCACTTTCCTTCTTAGGAGTGATCTTAGATATGATTGTCTGGAAAATAAAAAACATTCACAAACAGAAGTAGATGTGTTAAAACGCCCTCACCTAAGCAGCGAAGCTGAGATATAACAGTCGTTGTACTCGAATGCACGTTAATAGCTTAGATATAGAAGCGACTTTTCACTTCTTTTTTGTCCTGGACGAAGACCACTGAAAATGATCGCACCTTGCTTCAGGATTGGAAGCTGGGCCCTGTTGGAAACAACGAATAAAATATGAAGAATCTTTCAAGGCAGATTACCTTTGCTCGATCACAGACGTAGAAACCACGACCAAGTTTGGGACCAGCCTTCTTAACTGTTCTCACGACACAAGGCTCACTGTGTCCCTTGCACAATGGAAGATCTGCTGCCGATTTTTCCAAGCTCTGCTGAGAGCTTCTCATCGGTGTTTCATCTGACATATCCATGAGACTGGCACTCTCCTCGCAAGCTGCAACCTCTGAGCAGTTGTTATTGTCACATAATTCAGGTGATTGCTGGATTCCATCCGTAAGGCTGGAGCTCTGTCCATGCACTACGACGTTTGTGCAGCTCATTTTGTCAGAAGATTCATGCCTTCGATAGCAAAACCCTGTCAATCTGCTTTGTGACAGCCTCTGTAATTTCCTGCTGCCCGTTTCCTGTGTAAAAGCGGGCTTGGAGACATTTCGGCTTGTATCTGGCTCGGTGTTAGCTGTTGCTCTCTCGTTGAGCTTTCTGAAAATGGAAACTGTACCAGTCAGCACGAGCGGTTGTCAGAAACGTCCTTCGCTATAAGAAGTTACTTAGCAATACTTTGCTGACGACCGCGAAGCTCAGGCATAAATCGAGCGGCCAGTTGTGGAGCTTCATGGAAGGTAAATGCTTAAGCTGCAGAATAACAGGAGCGTGAACTGAACCATCCAGTTTTAAGCTTCTCCCACCACTCCATCTTCCATGGAGAAACATCAACACTGGCAACAACTAGTCTGTCTTTTTTGCGTACCTCGGAAGGGTGTCCAGCTTTGCACGCTTAAACTTAAGAAGAATGTCACACATATCTGTTCCACACTCTGCAAATCCGTCACAGCTACTATTGTCATGCGATCCATCAGGACACTGACAATGGCCAGCGCAGGGACCGGCAATACGAACATGATCAATACGACTGCCATAGTTAAACTCCTCCGCACCCGATGCCTGGACAAGATACTAATAAGCACGTATGATTTGCCCAGACAAAAACCGTAAAGAGTATCAAGAGAAATAGAACATAATGTATTAACCATGGAACTATCTCAAGCAACTTACACTGGCACTGGATTGCTTGGACATGAGATACGCTGTGAGAAGTGGCTCCAAATTCCCACCCATGATGACACTGATGTCCGACGTTTCCGCGTTTGTTCTCAAATCCTGTAAGGATGGAAGACGTAGTTTCTTATTTGCTGCCCCCACTCCGCCTTGACAACGTCTCTTTGGCTTCTCTCGAACTCGAAGAAAGTTTTACAGCGCTAGATCTCTAGAAACATTGTTTCATGTACCTTAGAAGCGAAGAGCAATGTGTTGGAATGTGCGTGACACGAACAGCAGTCTCGACCTTGTTTACGTTCTGCCGGCGTTTGCCTCCAGATAATCTCAAGGTCTTTTTCGGGTATCTCCGCCTCGATCTCGCTCTCTTCCAGCATCATTTCTACTCCTGCAAAGCTCGTCTGTGAAGAGAGTTGAGACAGGAGTTTCGATGAAACTAAAGATTTTGTCAGAGTTGAAGGCGATTGTCTCACCAGCCTGTAGATGCGTTGTTTTACATACATTTCAGCACAGGATTGAGCTGAGATGCTTCTAAGGATGTACTAGCGATGGGTTACCAGTCGGGCTTTAAGTGGACTGTGGTGGAGGGTGAGGAAGCTGGATTGCTGTTGACTAAAAGGAATGACAAAGAGAAGCAGTTCAATCAGAGGTCTACTAGCAACAATTTGCACCGGAAATCGTTGCTGTTCTTAACCTCCAGAACCTCTGGAGCAATGGATCTGATTTGATTTGATATACGAAGTTTTCCTTGGCACTGGTGGATTTTGCTGGGGAGGGTCACAAAACTTGTATTCAACTCTAGATTCTAGAATTATGGAAGAGCCGGGAGGACAAGAAACAGGATCAAAGCGGCTAGCTGAAGCACTACCTGGATGAAAAGGTACGATCTCACACTCTGGTCACCTTGCAGTCAGCACAGCCTGATATAAGTTCAAGAAGAGGGCGGCGTAGCTATACGTAGAAGTTTACTGTCTCTCTCTCACTTCCGTCCACGTAAAAACTTTCCCTTCCAGGCTCCAGGAAAAGGCTCGTGGACCATGTCTACTAAAGCTCAGAAATCTTGTGTGTCTATTTCTTCCAGGGAAAGGAATCACGCGGGCGTCCAATCACAAACAAACAGCTCGACCAAAAACAGTGGCTAAGAAACTCTCGTATCAATCTAGCACTTTTTGATGTGTTTGATTTTGCGTGAATCCCCAGAACTTCGAAGGCAAAAAATATCATGTCCTGCAAACCCAATCGCGACACATTTTACTTTTAATCGAGACTTTCAAGCCAAAGTGCGGCCCAATGCGGCGCTGTGGTGATTTTTCGATAGCTAGCACACATTTCTCGCGGATTTTCTTCCCGAAAACACGTCCTCCACCTCCTTTTGTTCTTGATTGTTTGTTTCCAGCCAGCCAAGCCAGCGTCTTGTTAGACTTCTCGTCCGTTTAAATGTCAACACAATGGTGGCGACTTTTGTGGAACTTCTCTTTTCCCGTGCTAGATCCTTATCTCCGGGTGAGATTCCTCTTAAAACCTGTGTTCTCCGGGTCCAGGATCTTAGCTTCAATCATGAAGTGCTTGGCGCTCTCCAAACATCTCAAGTCTGGCTCCAAGGCGAAGGAACCACTGGACAAGTTCTCATCATCTAGCACGAGCGGTAGTAGCTGCAACAGCGGCAGCAAATTATCGTCGCGATCAAGCAGCCGAGACGATCGCAGCTCGGCATCCTCGTCTTCCTCCTCGTCTTCCAGGTGCGATCGCAGAGCTAATTTGGAGTGTGTAACAAGCTTTCCCGGCGATCAAGCCGTGGCTATGGCACTCGCCTCCACCGAAGGGGATCACTGTTTCCTTTACGTGTCATCAAACACTTCCATCTCCCGGCGGATCGACGTGCTCGACTGTAGCAGCAGGGAATTGTCCACAGTTGGCAGCCTTGCTCCCAAAACCCCACCGGTGAGAGCAATCCTCGCGAGCGGCGCCAGAGTTTTCACCGCCCATCGCGATATGAAGATCAGAGTGTGGACGAGAAGGATCGCCGAGAGCCAGGACGAGCTCATGGTCGTCAAGCACGAGCTCTCCGCAACGCTACCAAGCCTCCAGGATAGAATGTGTTTCCGATCGCTTTCCATGAGTCGCGACCGCGACCAGCAGCAGCAGCAGCAGCACCATAGCCATCGCCTTCCAAGACGAAAACGACGATCGGACGCCTCGGACTCCACCAAGCTCGTCCAGCACAGGGACGCTATCTCGGCGCTAGCAATCAGTTCTTCTGGGAAGATCCTCTACTCGGGATCCTGGGACAAGTCCATCAAGGTGTGGAGGATCGCCGCATCCTCCAGCTCCTCCTCCATCGCCATCAAGTGCGTGGAATCCTTCACGGCTCACGACGACGCAGTGAATGCGCTCGCGGTGGCTTCTTGTGATGGCGATGGATTGACGACACTCTACTCGGCCTCCGCCAGCGGCGAGATCAGAGCCTGGGAGTCATCAGATCACCGCAAGATCAAGCACCGCCTCGCCGCCAGCTTCCACGATCACTCTTCGGCCGTCAACGCATTGCTGCTCAGCCGCGATTCTACTCTCCTCTACTCGGGATCGGGCGACAAGACCGTGAGAGTGTGGGCGCGATCGAACGAGAATCTCCACGATCTGAGGGTGGTGGAGATCCTGAGAGGGCACAGGCGAGCGGTGCTGTGCCTGGCGGCGACCATCGACGGCGAGCTCCTGTGCAGCGGCTCCGCGGACAAGAGCGTGAGGATCTGGCGGGGCCATTGCTGCGTGGCCGCGCTGGATTTGCACTGTGCGCCCGTGAAATCGCTCGCCATGGCCCGCGATCGCGAGAGCTCCTCCTACACTGTCTATAGCAGCGCCCTAGACGGGAAGTTTAAAATCTATACCGCTTTGCCCTAAAACACGCAGAGCTCCCTTTACTACCGTCGGATATAGGGTTAGGGTTTTAGGGTTTGTGGGCGGCTCGCGGCTATGGTAATGCTCCTCTTTCGCGTCCTCCGCTCGTCTTGATTCTTCTCGATTCGTGTTCTTCCAGGGCAAGGGAACCGGGAGCTTCGGCAAGCGCCGGAACAAATCGCACACGCTCTGCCGCCGCTGCGGCCGGCGCAGCTTCCACATCCAGAAGGCCAGATGCGCGGCGTGCGCCTACCCTGCCAAGCGCATCCGAAAATGTGAGGAGACTTCTCCCTTGTGGATCCGCGAGCTCACGAAATCTCGAAATCTCTCGTGTGTAGATAACTGGAGCGAGAAGGCGATCCGGCGCAAGACCACTGGAACCGGGCGGATGAGGTACCTGCGCCATCTCCCCAGGCGATTCAAGAGCAACTTCAGAGAAGGTACTACTGCTAGCGCATCCATTTCAGTGTCATCGGTGTCTAGCCGGGGCTAATGAAAGAGGATTTGCCGCTTGCCACGGATTGATCGATCGATCGACCAATATGTGTTCTAAGCTCGTTCTTCTTGCTTTTTCCCTAGGAGAGCCTCTCCAGAAGAAAGCTCCAGCGTCCGCGGCCACATAGAGAAGCGCTCGAGCACCCATGAATCGATCAAGCAGGCATTTTGGTTACATCTGAGATTTCTTTCTAGGTGCCAAACACTAAGAAAAACTTTTTTCTCTACGAGCGTGTCTCTCTCTCACCGATAGTCTAGAACAGAGCAAGGGCTCTCGCCAAAGATCTTGGGCTTGCTCCTCAGCGACACCCACCACGCCTTGAGGAATCCATCCAGCCCGCCGCTGTAGACCATGCATCCGTCCACAATCCCCTCGATCGAGACGATGACGCTCTTGATCGGGCAGCGGCTGTGCAAATCCTGGACCACGCACACGCAGGAATGCCGCTCGTCCTCGCGCCTCCACACCCGGATTGTCCGATCCGCGGATCCGCTGCACACGACGTCGCGCGCCGCCGAGATCGACAGCACTGACATGGAATGCCCGCACAGCGCCGCAAATTCCTCGCGATAAACCCTAATCTCTGGCTCTTCGCGAAGAACCCTAATTCCCTGGTTTTCCTCTTCCCCGGACTCCGACGATGATGGGTCCTCTGCTCCTCGCGGAGGCGATGCTTCGTCCTCCTGCTCGATCGCCACCATCCACACCGAGATCCTCCCATCGCTGCACCCCGCGTAGACCCAGCTCCCCCACAGCGCGATGCAATTCACGGGGCTGGGCTGCGCGAGCTCCACCACGAAGCTCAGGCCATCGCTCAATCCCTTCGTGTTCTTGTGGTTCTTCCTCGATCGATCGCACTTCCCCCGCCTCCACACCTTGACCGACGAGTCCGCCGAGGCCGAGAACAGGAACCCACCTCGCGGCGCCACCGCCAGCGCGTTGATCGCGTCCGTGTGAGCGTCCCCGATGGATTCCAGGCAGCGCAGGTCGCGCAGCCGCCACGCCTTGAGCGATCGGTCCCAGGAGCCCGAGTAGAGGATCCCGGCGGCCTCGTCCACGGCCAGCGACGAGATGGTGTCGAAGTGCTGGTTCCAGGGGCTCTTGCGGTGGCGCCGGATCCTCACCAGGCCCTTGCTGCCGCGGATGGAGGTCGCCACCACGTCCCGGATGGTGGGGAGTGTGGCGATCAAGCGGTGCTGCGATGGTGGCGATGGCGATGCCCGGCTCCAAGCCCGGATCTTGTGATCCTGGTGGGCGCTGTAGATCTCGAGGCCGGCGCGGCGTACGAGGAGGGCCTTGACGGAGCCCGAGGAGGCAGCGGCGAGGCGATCGCTGGGCTGGAGATCGGCGAGGCGATACGAGCAGACGAGGCCATCCTCGGAGCCCGAGTAGAGCGAGTGGTCGGAGATGGCGAGCGCGCAGATGCCAGACGCGTGGGGCTTGAAGGAGAGGAGGCAGCGGAAGCCCGCGGAGGATCTGGAGGAGCTGCTGGGGCGGGGTTGATCGATCGCGGTGGCGAGGAGGAACTGCTGCTGCTGCTGCTCGGATTGATCCTTGTCGGAGGTGGTGGTGTCCGAGATGGAGTCCGAGATGGGGAGATCGTCGAATGGGTCGCAGAAGGACGAGGAGGCCATTGCAATCGAGGCGGAGCTGGATGGAAAGCACGCGAAGCTCCTCTTCTTCATCGATCCGACCATAGCTAGCTAGCTTCCTTTCTTCACACTCAAGTCTTCTCTATTGGCGAAGATGATCGCTTTGTTCCACACCCCACACAACAAATGCGTGATCTTCCAGGACAGAAAAAGAGGGAAAACTCCCTTGAAACGACCCACCGGACGCTGACAACGTAAAGATGTTCTCCAAAACCGATCGACACCCAAAGCACAGGGAAAACAAGAAGGAATCTCTTCGATCAAACAGATCGTTCCCAAGGAAAGGAAAAGTCGTTCCAAGTACTGCTCCAAACCGAAAACTGGGGGAAAACAAGAACAGCGAGCATCACCAGCGACGAGAAAGCGATTGCAATGCCCGATTGCCGCTCGATTCTCCGTGGCACAGCGCCTTCGATTCCTCGGTTTCTCTCTCCTGGACGCAACGGATCAAGAGGAAAAGCGAGAGAAACAGGAAAAAGAGGAAGAAAAAGCCCACAGCACTCTTTCTCCGCGGCGAGAGAGCAAAGAAAAAACAAAGAGAAGGGAATCCAACGTATTGATCACGGTAGCGTTAGCAGCATTCCACCCAGTCCGTGGGCTCCATTCTGCCCCGCCATCGCCAAAAGCCCTAGAAACAGAGCACCCCACAAACCCTAAAGCATGTTTAGGCGGCAAACGCGCGTGGGGGTTTACGAAATCAACGGGGCTACCGCTGGCCACGTGTCGCGCAGGGTGGGGACCATAAACCGCCACGTGTGAAAGTAACCGTTGGGAGGAGAATATCCGCGCATCTGCTCAGTCAAGTAAAGCGCAATTTAAATAAGCGTTAAGCTTACGTCTTGGCGCCAAAGTTTGAAATTTTGACCCAAAGATATTTTAACATTAGACCTTCCTAATCCAAGATTACATTTACCCGGAATCACTAAAAAGATTCTAAATCTAACACATGGAAATCGTGTTTGTTTGTTTGTCACTTTTTGTGATTTCCAGATCTCTACATTGATACTCAAGGTGGCATGCTTTGTCACTAAATCATCAGGTATCTCTAGCACTGGAGATGATCTGGTAGTGACATTAACACTAAGATCCAAAAAGAGATCTCTCTTTTGCAAAAATCTTCCGAGGTTATGGGATTTGCAATCTGTGTTTATTTTTTATGATTGATGATGAGTCCCTTCCAGAAGCTTTTGCTCCTCATCCAGGAGCGTCTGGAGATCGCTACCATTTGCGAGGCTGTTAAACTCCACCGCGCGAGAGGGGAGCGAAGGATACCGTCGCTGGCAAAGCGTCATGAGCCGCTTGATCGACTGGAGGTACTTCCGCGTTGTCTCGTCGTTCATGATGTGAGCCACGCTGTTGGCGTAGATCTTCTCGCGCGCCGACCGCTCGTGGATGCCAACCATGGTGACACCGATCGGCCAGGGAGCGTTTCCAATCGCGAGCTTGATGTACTGGTCCATGGCGGCCAGGTAGTCGCGCCTCCGGCAGCAGTCCACCACGATCACCAAAGCCTGCCGGATATCATCCGGAAGAAGCTGCAAGGGAGAAAAACCATGAAAAAATCCATCTCCGGAGAGAAACCAACTAGAAAAGCTTGCGAGAGAGTATCAAAGCGTTACCTTCTTGGAGCACAGCTTGAACAGAGGCTTGAGATATCTGGAGCACTGCTTGAAAGTAGCGACAATCCGACCACCTCGCTTCTCGGCGTCGGGCCGCGCCTTGATCTCTTGCTCCCATTCCTGGATAAGCCTCTTGAAGAAGACCAGGATCTTGTCCTCGTCGCACAGCTCCTCGAAGTTGGCCTTCATGAGGAGATCCTTGTCCTTGTCTCCGCCGCTCTCGCCATCCAGCGCTTCTCCCCCGGCGTTATCGTCTCCGCGATCGTCGTCCTCCTTCTCCTTGTTCTTCTCCTTCCTGGGCTCCAATCCGTGCTTCTCCCTCTTCTTGAGCTCCGCCAGATCCATGAGGAAATCGTTCCTCTGGCCCTCCATGAGCTCGCTGTCCGTGTCGGTCACCCCCGCCCGGAGCGCCACCTTGAGCCTCTCCAGCCGCATTTCATCGTCCTCGCCAAACAGCGTGATGGGCTGCTTGAGGAGGCGGAGGCGGCGGATCACCTCCGCGTTTGGGAGGACGAGATCGTCCAGCTTCTCGTCCTCGCTGAGATTTACCCGGGATTTCGACGACGTCGCCGACGCCGACGGCCGCTCGCTGCTCTGGTCATCGCTCCTCACCTCGCCGCCCTTGCTGCTGCCCGCCGCCCTAGCTCTGGCCGCCGCCGCCTCCTCCTCCCTCCGCCGCTTCTCTAGCTCCTTCTTCTCCAACTCCGCGCGCTTCACGAACTTGCGGCTCCCGAATTCCTCCTGCATTTGCTTGCGCTTGCGCTCGATCTCCTGCTTGAGCGCGTCCATCCTCCCGAGCGCGAAAGCCCTAACCTGGGATTTTAGGGCTCTTCGAAACCTAGAATATATACTTGAGGATATTCTTTCATTTTTAAATGCGTCGCTATTCTTCTGGGTAATCGCCAAAGCCCTGGAACGATGGCGATGTCCATCCGAGGCGATTTTCCAGGGACACGATTCTACTCTGTTGCTTGCCAAAATCGGTGAGCGGCGTGGTGAGAGGATAGATGTAGACCACTTTCTTTGCGATTGATCTGTAAGTCACCGTGTTGTTCTTCACCAGGAACTCGATGGCGTCTCGTCCCAAAAATCCATCCATCTCGGCCAGGAGGTAGTCACCACCTGGAGAGATTTTGGAACAAACTTAGTTGAGCTTCGATCGATTCAAGCTATAGATCCATTGCTATACCATTTTCTAAGTGTTTGATTTCCACAATGGTTGGATTCTTCTCGGTAGACAGGATTGCGTCCTTGATTTTCTGGAAGATCGATAGACATTAAGAAAGTGAAAGAGAGAATTCTTCTACCTGGATAGCGGTAGAAGAATCCTTGTCTGGAATCGTCCACGGAATCGCCGCGGAGGCTCCATATCTCGAAGAAGTGGAGATGCAATTGGGATTAATGTCCAGTGGACACGGACGAATTCTCCTGCGAGCAAGAAATATTTGCAAGCTTGGTCCAGAGAAAAGGAGATTTTCGTGAATCACTCACCCGTCCAATAATCCCATCTCCGGAGGCTCCTGCGCTCGAGAATACGGCGTCACAGGATCAGCATTTGCCCAGGCAGGCTGCGCGGCGAGCAAAATCGATCCGGCCAAAGCAACCAGTGCCTGCATTCTTCTCGCTCCTCGCGATTCTTCGCTCCAGCAGCACGAAACAGCTATCGATTTCGTGGAGAGCTCCGGCCGTGTGCCTGGACTCCTCAGCCGGAGCGGCATTGCGACGGGAGAGAGGAGCGCCATAGCCCATAGCCCTAAAAACAGAGGACCGAAATATTTCTATCTAGCCTAAAACCCTAGTTTCCGTTTGCCATGGAGGCTTTGAGAGCGAGCGCCTTGGCTATGGCGCCGACAACACAGCAGCGCCTCCAGTTGCCCTCGCAGGTATCCAAGAGGTTCTCAGTGGATACTGGATTTTGTGCAAGGACTCGATTCCATGAGCAAGCTCTCGAGGGGAGGAAGAGAATGTCATCGATTTCATGGACGGTATGTGCTGCTTTAGATACTGGCAGTCAATCCGTGACAGAGCTAGGTAAGTGTCTCGATTCTCTAGGAGCTAAGGCTGATGAATCGATCAAACTCGGCAGAATTTTACAGTTTGAGGAAGGATGTAGAGAATGTGGCCGCTCGCGTTCGCCAGCTCCTCGATTCGGCAGACCTGGAGCAACAGGAAGCTGTTCTGGCCGACCTGGAGAACCAAGCGAGCGATCCAGCGTTTTGGGAAGAGCGTTCCAAGGCACAGAAGATACTCTCCGAGCTCAACGAGATCAAAGATCGCGTCAATCTTTACAAAACTTTTCGAGCCAAGGTAATTTGCTGAGAGAAGACAAACTACAAGCACTTTAACTTGGAAGAACAGGTTGACGATGCCCAATGCATAGTGGAACTTTTGGAGGAAATGGAGAGTCCGGACGCTGCTCTGAAACTGGAAGCCGCGGAGACGGTCTCGTGGATCACCGCGGCGATGGATAGGTTCGAGTTAAACAAGCTCCTGTCTGGAACTTATGACAAAGAAGGAGCTCGGATCACTATTACCGCAGGCGCTGGCGGAACCGATGCGCAGGTAACATCTTGTGCCGATATCTTTTTCGAAGGTTTGAGATTGTTCTACATACATTCCAGCACAGGATTGGGCTGAGATGCTTCTAAGGATGTACCAGCGATGGGCTACCAGGTCGGGCTTTAAGTCGACTGTGGTGGAGAGTTCTCCTGGCGAGGAAGCTGGGATCAAATCGGCCACACTCGAGATCGACGGGAGATATGCGTATGGTTATATCTCCGGAGAGAAAGGCACGCACAGGCTGGTGAGACAATCGCCTTTCAACTCTAAAGGTCTCCGACAGGTGAGGCAAACGGTAGTTTCATCGAAACTCTTGTCTCAACGTTTGCTTCTCTTCACAGACGAGCTTTGCAGGAGTGGAAGTGATGCCTCTGCTGGAAGAGAGCGAGATCGAGGTGGAGATACCCGAAGGCGACCTTGAGATTACAACGTGTAGATCTGGAGGCAAAGGCGGGCAGAACGTGAACAAGGTCGAGACTGCTGTTCGTGTCACGCACATTCCAACCGGGATTGCTCTTCGCTGCTCAGGTACATGAAACGAAGTAACAGCGCAGTGCTCTAAAACTTTCTTCATGTTTCTAGAGGAAAGAAGCCAACTCCAGAACAAGATAAAAGCAATCGCGCTGCTCAAATCCAAGCTCCTGGTGATTCTCGAGGAGCAAAGGGCTGCCGAGATCAAAGAGATTCGAGGGGACGTCGTCAAGGCGGAGTGGGGGCAGCAAATAAGAAACTACGTCTTCCATCCTTACAAGCTCGTCAAGGATTTGAGAACAAACGTGGAGACGTCGGATATCAGTGGAATCATGGACGGGAATTTGGAGCCACTTCTCACAGCGTATCTCATGTCCAAGCAGTCGAGCTCCTCGCCAGTGCCAGTGTAAGTTACTTGACATCGTTCCATAGTTCCATAGTTAATACATTGTATTCTTTTCTTTGGTAACTACTATAACACTTTGATATGATAGAGTATAAGATTGCTTTTGCCCTATTTCGTTTGAGCTCCTCCGTGGCTGGGCGGGGAAATGAGGATCGTGAGCTACAATGTGAATGGACTGAGAGCGCGATTGTCTCCAGCGAGATCGCTGCGCGCTTTCTTGGACTCGCTCGACGCAGACATCATATGCCTCCAGGTGAGAGATTGGATTTTCGATTGTTGTTGCTGATTTGTTCTTTGTTCTCGAGCTAGGAGACTAAGATTCGCAGGCAGGAGCTCACGGCGGATATTGCCACACCGCAAGGATACGAATCCTTCATCTCTTGCACGCGCACCGTGAAGAAAGGCCGCCTCGGCTATTCAGGTATGATTTTGGTATTGTTTTGCATTGTTGGACTGGGTAGAGACTTTGCGATTTAGAACTTTTCTTCATCCTTGGCATTCGATTAAAGCGCATTGCTGGTCAGGTGTGGCTACGTTTTGCAAGGTGGAGTGTGGCAACAATGTAGCGTTGCCTGTGGCTGCCGAGGAAGGTTTTACGGGTCTCTTGACTAGTGCCAGAGCTGGTGAAGGTGACAAAGAGTTCTGGCTTGGAAGCTACGATCCAGTTCTAACCGTGGAAGGATTTACGAGGCAGGAACTTCTCGATTTGGACAACGAGGGCCGATGCATCGTCACGGATCACGGGCATTTTGGTATGGAGCTTCCTCGCTTTCATTCGCACTGATTGTTCTCTTCTGTTTGTTGATGGATTCTCTCTACCTAGTACTCTTCAATATCTATGGTCCTAATGTTGGCTGTGGAGACGCTGAACGGCAGGACTTTAAGCTGAACTTTTACAAAGTGTTACAGGTATTGACAGATGTGTTGCTGTTTGTTGTGAACCTTTTTCTTCATTCGCAGTGTAGGCTGGAAAGCATCTTAAAACAAGGCAGGAGGATTATTATCGTGGGGGACTTGAACATTTCTCCATATCCTATCGATTCATGTGACCCTGGCCCAGAATTTGATACCAGTCCGTAAGTCACTCACTGATTTCTAGTACTTTTTTAACATGTTCATTTTAACAGAAGCCGTCAATGGTTTAGATCATTGCTGGTGAGCGAGGGCGGTGCGTTTTCAGACGCGTTTCGCGTGTTTCATCCTGAAAGGTAACTCTTCACGGTTTTGTCTGGCCAAAACATATGTGCTTATAAACATGTTGTTCAGAGCAGAGGCTTACACTTGCTGGTCTCAGGCATCGGGTGCGGAGGAGTTTAACTACGGCAGTCGTATTGATCACGTTCTTATTGCCGGTCCCTGCGCTGGCCATTGTCAGTCTCCGGATGGATCGCATGATAACAGTAGCTGTGACGGATTCGCAAAGTGTGGAACAGATATGTGTGACATTCTTCTCGAGTTTAAGCGTGCAAAGCTGGACACCCTTCCGAGGTACGCAAAAAAGACAGACTAGTTGTTGCCAGTGTTGATGTTTCTCTATGGCAGATGGAGTGGTGGGAGAAGCTTAAAACTGGATGGTTCAGATCACGCTCCTGTTATTCTGCAGCTTAAGCATTTACCTTCCATTCCACCACATGAAGCTCCACAACTGGCTGCTCGATTTATGCCTGAGCTTCGCGGTCGTCAGCAAAGTATCCGTAAGTAACTTCTTATAGCGAAGGACGTTTCTGACAACCGCTCGCGCTAACTGGTGCAGTTTCCATTTTCCAAAAGCTCAACGAGAAAGCAACAGCTAACACCGAGCCTGATACAAGCCGAAATGTTTCCAAGCCCGCTTTTACACAGGAAACGGGCAGCAGGAAACTACAGAGGCTGTCACAAAGCAGATTGACAGGGTTTTGCTATCAAAGGCATGAATCTTCTGACAAAATGAGCTGCACAGAGGTCGCAGTGCATGGGCAGAGCTCCAGCCTTACGGATGAAATCCAGCAATCACCTGAATCATGCGACAATAACAACCTGTCAAAGGTTGCAGCTTGCGGGGAGAGTGCCAGTCTGATGGATATGTCAGATGAAACACCGACGGAAAGCTCTCAGCAAAGCTTGGAAAAATCGGCAGCAGGCTGGGAACGACTGAAAAGCTTGATGTCGCGAAATCTTCCATTGTGCAAGGGACACGGTGAGCCTTGTGTCGTGAGAACAGTTAAGAAGGCTGGTCCCAATCTTGGCCGTGGTTTCTACGTCTGTGCTCGGGCAAAGGTAATCTTCCTTTGAAAGATTCTTCATATTTTATTCGTTGTCTCCAACAGGGCCCAGCTTCCAATCCTGAAGCAAGGTGCGATCATTTTCAGTGGTCTTCGTCCAGGACGAGAAAGAAGTGAAAAGTCGCTTCTATATCTAAGCTATTAACGTGCATTCGAGTACATCGATTGTTCTATCTCAGCTTCGCTGCTTAGGTGAGAGCGTTTTAACACAGGTACTTCTGTTTATTAATGTTTTTTTTTCAGACAATGCTGCAACAGTCCATATCTAAGATCACTCCTAAGAAGGAAAGTTCCTTCAAGTCTTCTTGATGAGTTTCCTGAGCTCGCTCACAAGCTCGGGTTCCGAGAACTGGAACGCCTTGGCAATCACGTCGTCGCTCACGTCCGGCCTAGCAGCACTTCACAACCTGAGATTCTGGCTGTTAAACGCGGCTGTACCCTTGAGCTTAGAGCTTCCTCCTTCCCAACGTTGAGCTGAAAGTGGACGACCTGAGGAAACACGAACATGTTCCCTGCCTGGATCACCCCTCTGAACAAAGAGGAGCTCCGTCGCATCTCTCACGCCTCGTCTGATCCTCGTGCACAGGCCACGAGGCTGGTGAAAGTCAATGAAGGTGATTTTTAATATTTTAAAATCACTTAATATTTTTCAACATGTGAGTGCATGGAATATTGAAAGGGAATACAGAAATGTGCATATCAATTAGCCCAAAAACCCTAGCTTATATACAGGAGCGAATAGTTCGGATTGAAACCAATCCGACGGCTACCAAAATCCACTACGCTAATATTAGTATACGGCATCGTAACCGTACACTTGGCCCTCACATCATCTGCTTTTGATCCCTTTGTATGAAGCGTTTTAACCGCTGCACATGCACAATCTTTGGAGGATCGGCCTACTAAACGTTATGCCGAACCTCATAAACTTGTGGTTCAACTTGCCACAACACCCGATACGGTCCTTTCCACTGCGCAAGGAGCCCCTTAGATAAACCAAGTACCGTAAGATGGGGAAAACGAACTAACACCAAATCATCCACTTTGTACTCCGCAGGTGGACGATGATGGGAGTTGTAGCGCCGTTGTTGTCCCACTTGTACGCGGCCTAAGTGTTCGGCAGACTTTGCTCGGACAACTGGAAGAATGCTTGTCAAATACTGATCCCATGACTTAGCATCAGGAGCTCGTGGCAATCACAAAGGTAAACCCAACTCTGTTGGTAATATTGGATCATGACCATATAGAAGTTTATATGGTGAAGCACCAACAGAACTCTGCACCCCTGTGACATAGGCATACCGAAGAGACGGCAAATAACCATCCCAATCCGAATGCTGAAAGTTCACATACTTCGAAATCATCCCTTTGAATGTCCGAACGAGCCGTTCCACCAGACCGTCTGATTGTGGATGATAAGCACTCGCAAAAGTGTGGCGTATCCCCAACTGAGATGTCAAAACATGAAATACCTCAGCCATAAATGCAGGACCATTATCCGAAAGAATCCGCTCTGGACAAGAATGCTGGAACACCACTCGATTGAGGAGGAAGTATCCAACAGCAGTTGTACAGGCACTAGCAAGAGCACCAACTTCCACCCAACGAGTCAAGTAGTCAGAAGCAATAATAACATACTCATTGCCAGCAATCGATCGTGGAAAAGGTCCCATAAGATCAAACGCCACTAACTCAAACGGACGGGAAACTGCAATTGACTCCAACCGTCCTTCCGCAGCACAAGGGGGAGTATTACGAGCTTGGCACCAAATGCAGCTACGCACATACCGGATAATATCACATCGCATTTCCGGCCAATAGAAAGACCTGCGCAACTTCTTGGTGACACGACGGTGTCCCATATGCCCACCTAGAACAGGAGAATCATGGTAGGCATGGAGAAACCGCGGAATAAACACCGAAGGTACCACCAATCGTAAATGATCATCAGGATCCGTCCCCACAAAATAAAGAAGGCCATCTTCAAGGCGATATTGAGAATGTAAATGCCGGAAAGGCAAGTCATCAGCAAGTGATGCAGGATTCTCAAACCCATCTCGAAGCCTTCGAATCCACGGCTCAATCTTCTGAGCCTCGCAAACCTCCTCAAGAGAAGGCAGATCTTGCTCTGCACCCTGTGGACACTGAACGTCAAGGACAGCAACCGCCGACGGCACAGAATCCTCATCTAGAAAATCCACAGATGCTGGAACAACAGGTTCGTCAGAAACATGAGAAGTGAGTGGAGAAGGAAGAGGAGCTTGAGAAAGGGCATCAGCATCAGCCATAGAACTCCCTGGGCGATGAATAACATCGAAATCATATATCTGAAGCTTCAAAGCCCATCAAGCTGTACGACCAACCAGGTTCTTCCGCTTCAATAATGAAGTAACAGCAGCATGGTCACCTTCAAGTAACGTCCGAGAACCATGTAGATATGCATGAAGTTTCTCGAAACCCCAGACTGCTGCTAAACACTCTTTCTCCGTCGTGGAGTAGTTCATCTCCGCTGGTTGTAATGTACGGCTTATGTATGCAATGGGATGGCACTGACCAGGCACACTTGAGCTCTCTTGCATCAACACACCTCCAAGACCAATGTCAGAAGCATCCACGCGCAAAATAAAAGGTCGAATGTAGTCAGGATATGCCAAAACCGGAGGAGTTGTCAATAGCTCTTTGAGATCCACGAACGCCCGCTCACAATCCGGAGACCAGATGAAACATGACGTTGATGACTTCAGCAACGCTCGCAATGGTGTAGTGCGATCGGAAAGATGATCCACAAAACGACCAAGATACTGCACCTTACCCAAAAAGCGTTGCACATCATTCACACACTTCGGAGTAGGGAACTTTAGAACAGCCACAAGTTTGTCAGGATCAACTTGCAAACCCTCACGAAAAATACGGTACCCAAGATAAGTTGTGTCCTTGGACCCAAACACGCACTTCGACCGCTTCAGCTTTAAACCAACGTCGCGTAGCCGATCCAACACTTTACAAACATCACGAACGTGCCCCTCCCACGTCCCCTCCGAGTGGATCAAGACATCATCAATGAAGTCAGCAGTCACCTCCGGCATATCGCAAAGAACCTCGTCCATCATCCGCTGGAAAGTTGCTGGAGCATTGTTCAAACCAAACGGCATCACCAAAAACTCGTACAAACCAAATGGTGTACGAAAAGCAGTCTTAGGAATATCTTCTTCGGCCATTGGTACTTGCCAATACCCAGAAGCAAGATCTAGTTTGGTGAACCAACGACTTCGCCCCAGACGATCCAAGAGATCAGTAGTGTGAGGAAGAGGATACACATCTGGGATCGTCACTTCGTTTAACGGACGATAGTCGATGCAAAAACGAATACTCCCATCAGGCTTCGTCACAAGATGAGGTTCACATGCCCAAAGACTCCGCGACTTCCGAATAACACCCTTTTCCAGCATTTCCTTGACGTTTGCTCGTAAAATTTTGATCTCCTTAGGTGACCGACGACGAACAGGAACCTTGATTGGACGAGCATCCCCGGTGGGAATTGGATGACGTGTGGCAATCTTGGCCCCAGACGATAGGTCAAATTCAAAGAGATTAGAATACTCTTTCATGAGCCGGTCAACTGCTGCAACACAAAGTAATGGAAGCAGAGGTAGAAGTAGAGGGACGAAGAGGTATGGAAGTGAGAGGAATAGATGAAACATAAGGAAGTATGAGACAAGGGGGAGAAGCCTCAAAGTCACACTTGGCATGATTGCGCTGCAACCAATCCATACCAAGAATGAGGTCAAAAGCTTGACTCGACACCACCCGCAATGACTGCAACTCAAGCTCGAGATCGCCCACACGCACAACCAGGTCCACCTCATCCCGTGCACATGCATGTGTACGGCCGTTGCCATAAAGAATGAAAACTGGTTCTGCCGCATGACGCAAGTGTAGACGACAACGTGCGGCAACAGGTCGAGCAATAGAAGATAAACTCGAACCTGTATCAACCAACACGGAGAGAATAATAGGAGACTTCTTGTTATAAAAACGAGCTTGGAAAGTAAACACTGGATGAACTGGTGCCGAGTGAACCCCTTGATGATACTCCCGAAAGAAAGATGGAGGGGTCACTGATTTATTCGTGCAAGGTCCCTCCGTTACTCGCACGACTCCTCGTTTCCCTGATGCATCTCGGTGTCCAGACCTTCCACTGCAGCAGCACCCAGGGGACGTTGCTGACGCCAAGGTCTCCACCCAGGAAATGGAGGTCGCCAATCCGGAAAACGACGGCAACGCCGATAAATATGACCAACTTCATCACACGCCCAACAGCGAACATCACGGCCACGACCACGTCCTCGCGCTTGTCCTTGGACTCGAGCAGCAGCAGCATCAACCTCCATTGGAACAGGACCATCACCCATAGGAAGTGGAGCGGAAGGACGTGCAGCGAGAAGTGGAAGAGGCGACGTCTCATAACGTTGTGCCAAGCGAAGAGCATCGTCAAGGGTGGCAGGAGCAAGTGCATGCACAAGTCCGACAAGATCTTGACGAAGTGCTGGCCACAACATTCCTAGCTTGATCCGCTCCGACATATTTGGCTCCGCACGAAACAAAAGACTTCAGAAACGAACGCCAAATTGCATCACCGACTCCGATGGCCCTTGGCGAAGACGATGCAATTGTTGGAAAGCATCATTAAAATCATCGGCATGTCCGAAGGCGCATTTGAAGACGTCCGGGAGAACACTCCAATCCCCACGAGTAGCTGCGCTCAAACCATTGTACCACTGCAACGCCGTCCCTTGGAGACACGTGGGAAACTCACGCAACCGTTGAGCATCATCCCAAGAATGATATGTGGCAATCACCGTAAAATGATCGAACCAATGGTACACATCATCCCCAGGATTCCCGCGAAAGAACTCCGGCCGAACGCAAGGATTGGCACCAAGAGCAGGAGGAGTTGTACCACATGCCGTGAACGCCGCCATCAACTGAGTTTGGTTGTTCAATTGCAAGCGCATAGCATCAAGCAATTGAACCAACTGCTGTTCTAGAGTCAAAGGAGGAGATTGCAGATCGGTCATGAAGACGAACGAAAAAGAAAGAGCAAAAGAAGAGAAATGACAAAAAAGCTGGAAAGAAATGGTAGATCTAGACAATGCAAAAAGCTAGATCAAAACCAAAATCCTGAAAGGAAAGAACAAAAGAAAGGAAATGGAAAAAACTAGATCTAGACGATGCAAAAGCTAGATCTAAACCGAAATCCCAAATCCAAGCACTCCCCAGGGACAATCAAAGGTGCCCCTCACCTCCACCAATGTGAGTGCATGGAATATGGAAAGGGAATACAGAAATGTGCATATCAATTAGTCCAAAAACCCTAGCTTATATACAGGAGCGAGTGGTCCGGATTGAAACCAATCCGACAGCTACCAAAATCCACTATGCTAATATTAGTATACGGCATCGTAACCGTACACTTGGCCCTCACAAACAAAATTTTCTACAGAAATATATATAATAAATTGTGTAAACATAAAAAAAATTGCTATGAGTACTTATTAATCTAATTGATCAAATAAAAGTTTATAATTATAAACATGTTTATAATTTATAAACACAAGATTAATCTTATTGCATACCAAACATTAGAATAAAA